TGTTTAAGAGTTTTCCATGCATAGCCTATTAACTTAATAACTTATAATAAGCTAGAAATGTAGATTACTAAATTTACCTTAGCATAGCCGTGTCGTAGAAAAAAAATAACTGTCACCCGTGCTCATCTAGTCGTGCAAGAGGGTTTGTGTGTCTTCGTATTCTAGATTTATTTAGAGGTTTTAAAAGCAGTAGTCACCCTATTAATTGTTCTTTCCTATTTAGGGGTTTTAAAAGCAGTATGATATATATGAAATATAAAGGTTTCCTAAAATTTTTGGTGAGCCTTGTGTGTTGGCGAGTCACCCAACACACACGCGCGCCGAATCGAACCGAGCCGGGTTGGGTCGGGTCGGGTGATCAAAACAGATTTTAAATTTTTTGAACAATGTCTAGTTAAGTAATTAAAGCCTTGATTTATTCTAAACGTTTTGACTCTTTCAAAACTCACTACCGTTTTTGACTGATTTTATGGTAACCGTTTCTGCCCATTATTATGGTAACCGTTTTTTCCCGTTTTAATTAGGGATTATTATGGTAATCGTTTTTTACTTGAAAACCTTGTGTTGTTGATGTTGATGGCGGAAATGGTGGTGTTTGTTGTTGTTGATGGCGAAATGACCGTGAAAACGGTGGTGTTTGTTATTGTTGAGGTCGGCGTTGGTGGTGTCGGAGAAAATGACAGAAAAAGAAGAACAACGAGAGAGGTGGAGGGGCGTAGAGGAAGAGAAGGAGGAGAGAAAAAGAAGAGAAGGGGCGTAGAGGAAGAGAAGGAGAGAGGAAGAGAAGGAGGAGGAGAGAGAAATTGAAGGGGAGTATAGGAAGACTCCAGAGATTTAAGGGTTTGTTTTTTTACTATTATTTAATTATATTATTTTGTCGGAAAATTAATTTTCCGACGGAATATTCCGTCGGCTTTTATTTCTGTCGGAAATTTAATGTTTCGATGGAATATTCCGTTGGAAAATTAATATTCAGACGGAATATCCGTCTGAAAGCCCATAAAATCCGACGAATTTTTATTCCGTAGGAAATCTGTCAGAAATTTCCGACAGAATATATGGGATTTCTGACGGAACACTAATAGAAATAGGCCGTTTTCCGAGGAAATCGTTCCGACGGACCCAAATTCCTTCGGAAAATCCGAACTTTCCGACAGAAATAGGGTATGTCGGAACATTCCGTTGGAAAAGGTTCATTACGACGGAAACTCCGTCGAAAATATTGCGACGGAAATTAATTCCCTCGGAATAAAAGCCTTCCGATGGAATATTCCGTCGGAAACTTTGTTTTCTTACGGAATTTTAATTCGTCGGAATTTTCCAACGGAATATTCCCTCGGAAAACCTAAAATCCGTCGGAACTTTATAATATATAAAAAAAAAACCTGGAATTTTTCTTTCTCTTCTCCTCTCCTCTTTCTCTCTCTTCTCCTTCTCTGATTTCCTCCTCCCTTCCCCTTCGTTTCTCTCTCCTCCTTCCCCTTCTCTGCTTTTCCTCCTCCCTTCCCCTTTGTTTCTCTCTCCTCCTTCCCCTTTGTTTCTCTCTCCTCCTTCCCCTTCGTTCCTCTTTCCTCCTTCCCCTTCGTTTCTCTCTCCTCCTTCGCCATAACCACCAACATCATCAATTAAACCACCACTGCAAAAACCACTGACAAAACCAAGGCCGCCCAAGAACAACATCAACAACACCGTACAACCGTCGCGTCACCTCCAGTGCCGCTGCGTCGCATTCGGTCGCATCATAAACATATTATTCTAGATCTACATTTAATTTTGGTTAGAATTAGATCTAGTTTTATTTTGTTCAAATTTTCAATGTATAAATTTTTTTTATTGAAATAATTGTATATTTAAGTTAAAATATTTGAGATAATTGTATGATATAATTTGTTTTTGTTAAATTTCAAATTTTGTGTTGATTTTGAATAATTGCTTCTGTTTTTTTTTTTTGTGCTGGTCACGGGTTATTTCCGGTTTGGTTTGGTGGGGTGGGTTGTTGTGGTGGTGTCGGTGGTTATGGGGTAGGGTTATGGTGGTGGGCTGTTGTTGTGGTGTGGGTGGGCTGTTGTGTGTTGGTGTCGGTGGCTGTTGGGATGGGGTTTGGTTTGGTATTGGGGTGGGAATGTGGTGGGCTGTTGTTGTGGTTTAAGGGTGGTAGGCGGTTGTTGTGGTGTGGGTGGGTTGTTGTGGTGGGGTGGTGTCGGTGGGGTGTTGTGGTTGTGTCTGGTTTCGTATTGGGGTGGGAATGTGGTGGGTCTGGGTGGGTAGGGGGGCAGGGGTGGGCTGATGGGTAGGGGGGCAGGGGGTGGGCTGGTGGGTAGGGGGGGCAAGGGATGAGCTAGTGGTGTCGATTTAAGGGTGGTGGCAGGGGGTGGGCTGGTGGGTAGGGGGGTAGGGGGGTGGGGGCGGCCTGTTTTTTTTTTTTTTATTGACCTTTCCGAATATTCCGTCGGAATATACCTTTTTCGACGGAATTTTCCGTCGAAATGTACCTCTTTCGACGGAAAATTCCGTCGGAAACCTCTCCAACTCCGACGGAATTTTCCGTTGAAAGCTTGCGACGGACTACCCATTCAGGTCAAACATTGGCTCCGACAATTTAAAATCCGTCGGAAATTCCGTCGGTAGGGCCTTTTCCGACGGAAAATCCCTCGGTATAAGCCAAATTTCCTACAAAGGGGTTTCCGACAACGTGTTCCGACGGATTTAGAAGGCGTACAGATGGATATTTTTCGTCGTAAATAAGGTGTTTTCTAGTAGTGGAAATTCGTGTCCGCCGGAAGATGTCCGCCGGAAATAGGCCTATTTCTTGTAGTGTGGAAAGATAAGACTATATAGATGTCATATTGTCATGTGTAGAGTATTATTGAATGTTTAATGTCTTTAATGTCAATTTTATTCTTTTTTAGGCAAGTTAGTGTCAATTAACAAGTGACACAAGTTCGTGTCAATATTTACAACATACCCTTAAATTGGTGTCAATGAGTGTAATTTTGCCTAAAATGTATAGTACGATTGGTCGGGCTTAGCAGAGACGTAAAAAGAGATACAAAATTACAGATTCCTAAGAGGCAGCATTGAGTAAATTGCTCCGGTTCAAAATTGGACTCTTGCTTCGGTTCAAAACTGGACTCTTGCTCCGGTTTTAGCCCAAAACCGGAGCAAATTATGCCCAAAAAACCAATTAAACGTACTATACCCAGTTACCCACCCTATCTGTTACTCTCGTTCTCTCTCCTCTTCCCCCCCTGTTACTCTTGAGCCCACTTACCATCGTCCTGCTTCTCACGCCCACAAGTCCACCACCTCGCAAGCTATTCACGCCCACCGTCGAGCCACGAGCCACTGTCGAACCAAGAGCTTAGCTTCCATCACCAAGCAACGAGCGTCCACCGCCGAGCATGTTGATGCGAGCTTTCAATTGGTCAAGTTTTTTCAATTTCAGATTTGATTTTAATTTAGGTTAAAATATAAATCTAGTTTCTCACTCAGCTCATCAAAATTATTTTAATTTAGGATTTTCGGGTACCCGGATCTGAACACCCCTACCCTCAGATCATCAAATCATGTGCAACCCTATTACCCTCCCTTTTTACAAAAGAAAAAGTAACATGCTCACACAAATTAAGAAGAGAAAAAATATCCTTAAACACATGGCCATAGTCAGTAGGAGGAGAGAGTCCCTTCTTTAGATGATGGAAGAGCCCTCATAAAGAGCAGAATCAAGGCGTAGAGGGGAGATGTACCATACCTGTCTTGCTTCAGGGCACCTCGCAATACAATGTAACGCAGACTCCTCATAATCCCCACGCATTGGACAAATGCCACCCATAATCAGACCCCTATGCTTCAGTTTGCTTCTCACTGCTATGCTTTGTCTCACTAGCCTCCACGCAATTTCATATTAGTATAATGGACGAACCCGGCAGACTTGGTAACCATGGGTCAGACCAAATATTAATGGACGAACCATCACCAATGCCGCCCCCCCCCCCCCCCCCCCCACCCCCCATTTGATCACATCAACAGCACTAAGGATAGAACGTCAAGTGAAACTCATATTAGGGAAAGCCTTAGCTTTCAAGAAAGGCATCGAATAAAAATATTTGCTCTTTAGCACCCTTGTCATCAATGAATTTTCATTTGTCAGAATACGCCAAGCCTGTTTAGCTAGTAAAGCTTTAAATAAAGAGCCTCACATTTCTGACCCGAGCCCACCATTTTTCTTCGGACCATATAGTTTTTCCCATGCCAACCAACAAGCTTTTTCTCCTCACCTTTTTGCCCCCCAAAAAGGTGGGAGTGCAGTATATATTTTATTAACCCATAAACCGTTCTATATATTATTAACCCATAAAACTAGCCCATAAAACGCCTCCAACAAAAATACGTTCCATATTGTTATAGACGGATTGCATATTAATTACTACAATTTTGTAAACGAATTTTGAGCTTTTGATTTTTCAACAATGGCAATAAATAAATCTGATGCAGTGAATTAATGTAATGTGAGTTGCAAGAGATTAAGGCTGCTTGTAAACCTGTTGTGAGATTGAAGTGCATCGGTAAAAAAAATGTTTCGATTATCATTGTTCTGCTTCTCTATGCTTGTTAAATATTGCAAGATAAATTGTAGTTTGTAACAACCAACTTCAAGAAAGTGTAGTCTAAGTAAAGAGATAAAGCTGAGACTTGAAATATTCAACAGATTCAAGTCATGCTTGAAATTAAGAACAGCATATAAGACAACTTTATGAGACAACAATGAAGTAAAGTAAGCTATTTTATACAACTTAAATTTTGATTAATAAACAAGCTTAAGCCGAAATTGGATTCAAATTCACTAGGTGGCTAACCATGGAATTTAGAGCTTTCTCCTGCTAGCTACTTAGAATTCAATTAACAATACATGCGAACATAAGATAAATTCGGATTCAAAGTAATTTAATCTACCATTAGAATAGTAATAGTACTAAGGAATGTGATTTTATTGTATTAAACTATATTATACCCTGCCTAACCAGATCATCGTAGGTCTTCTTGTTGTAAACGTTACCCTCGGCATCTTCATATTCCTCAACATCAGGCTGCCATAGAAAAGACTGCTGCCTTAGTTGAATCTGCCACCATAACTCCTTCGCATCCTCGATTTGCGTGATCTCATGAAAGGTCTTGGTGTTAGGGATACCCAAGCAATGCATACCATGTTGGTGACGCGCTTCATGGAAGTGCTTTTCAAAGGCCCTTCGCCCCTTGTAGGTGTAGTCCCCACATATTTCACACTTGAATTCTTGGTGAAGACCGTGTAGCTTGTAGAGCCAGTACGGTATAGGCTTCCCATCCGAACCTAGTGGCAACTTGAGCGGATTATTGTTTCTTTTGTCGTCCTCTTCTCCATCGCTTGCTATGTCGAGTGCAACTATCTCATTATCAGCTTCACGATCACGAAGGAGTTCATCATAAGTCATCCCCTGCCTGTTCTTAACGCGTTCCCTAGTCTGCTCAAGAGTCTCTTTCAGAATGAGACACAACTTCTTCACTTTCGCTTCAATGAGCGCGATTTCCTTATCACAATCAAGTTCATCATCGCCTTTTTCCTTCTGCCTTTCGAGAGGGGTATTCTTTACAAGGAGAAGCCTCTCCGCCCTTTGGTGCATAGTACCCCCTGACTTAAGCCCCAAGGCGTTTAACGCCTCGTTAAGTTTCATCGGTCCTAACTCAATTAGACTCTCGACAGTGCTATATTCATCGAGCCACTCGATCACATCATCGATACTCGTCGTCCTAGGCCGTTTTTTCCCTCTATCAGCCGTCCAGCTCTCCTCGAATTCAGACTCAAGATTCTTGATCCTGTCCAAGAACATCAAAGGCTTTGCTCGTTCCAAGAACGAAATCAAGTACTTAAGAACACCCTCGATGTACTCCTTGTACCGTATAGTAGTCTTGTATTTTGCAGGAATCAAATCAATCGCAGGAAATTTATCAATATAATCAGCATAGGAAGTAAAGTACAAACCAAATTTAGAATTCATACACATGTTATAAATTTCATTCAAATCTAAATACCTCCCGAATCCCTCTTCGCCGCTGAAGGAAATATTTGGTGTCATCTTCTCGCAATGTTTCTTCATCCTGTTTTTTGATTGAGTATTTATTTGATTGATTCGATTGAAGAAGGCCATTAATTGAGAAAATTGGAAGAAAGGAGAGAAATTAATTTCGGGTTTCTTTGATTTGATTGAATGTTAGTTATGACACAAGCATAGAGCGCGGATGATTATATAGAAACGTTTTGTTGGGTTAGGGGTTATTTTAGTAATTTAAGAGGGATTAAATTTTAACAAGTTTACGGCTCATGATGTGATTTGATCATAGATATCCAAAATTACTTTTTTTTTTTTTTTGAAGCCATTACCCAAGATAATTTCATAAGCTTATAATGTGACTCTTTATGCTCTTGATTATTTTTTTATTTTATTTTTTTTTTGGAAATTGATAAAACTTGTACAGAGTATAAAAAGTTAGATTAAGAAGATTTATATAATTAAAGCAATTTTTTATTTTTTTATTTTTTAAATCAAACATTTATATATACTCAATTTTTTTTTTCATTGAATTTTTTACCATAAAAAAAAAAAAAAAAAATTCTTTTCTCTTTTGCTAGATATATAGATCAATATATTTTAGGATTAAACTCCTAAATCTCTTGCATAAAATCTTATATATGGCTGGCTAAACCTATAAGACGTACTCGTTTAGTGTTACAGGAGGTCATTGTTGTAAGGGTTTTACGGGCAGTGTTATAAAGGTTTTTCAGTTTGTTTATAGGGGGGCTACATTTTTTACCTATTGTAACCAGTTAGCAACTTTTTGTCTCTACCTGGTGCAAAGTACTCCTAGTATTCTAGAACAAAATAAACCCATTAACACAGGAGACAGAATAAGTTTTTATGTTTTTTTTAAAAAATATGTGTATTTCATTGACACCAATGGCAATGAGATAGACTTTATAGCTTCATATGGTAGTACGTTTAACTCAAGGACAGTTTGCTATGGAAAAAAAAAGTATAAAATGCACAATATAATAAACATAGGGGATGCAACTTCACGTTTGTATGATTAAGCGGATAGCAATTATTTCAAACTAGGTTAGGTCCCGTGCCATGTACGGTACGTTACTTTAATTACTTTTGACAAATTAATTTATTTATAGCATAAAATATAAAAATTGTTTAATATCTTTAACAAAATTGAAGTAACATGGAATATTTGATCAAGATCATATTCTTAAAATATATTCCACCAAAAATACATCTTCTTGAAAAACGATTATATATTTCCTTATTATTCCGTAATTAATTGAGTATCAACATAAAAATGGTAAATATTATTGCTCATTTATATAGTTGACAAAAAAAACAAACTTTTTTTTTTTAAATAACTTCCTTAAATAAAATTTAGTAATTAATTATTAAAAAAAAATACTAAGAACACATCAGAAATCGACACGTGTCATTACTGGTGTGTCTTTTAGTATATAGATATTGATATCTCTAAAAAGAGATCAAACCATACCCCAACCCCCTCACTAAACCTGTGATTTACTTAGGCCCAATAAAAGTAACTCTATTCACCTGACCCGCAAGAGCCCTAACCAACCAATAATAAATTCTAGTACTAAGTTTCAAGCAGATGAATTTATTATGTAAAAAAAATGTATGTAAAGTTAAATGGTAATTATATACAAAGTATAATTTCAAAGAAAAAGTTACACGGAAACTAATCTAAGTAAATAATCTAAGAGAAAGAATTAAAAAATAAAAAAATGGAAATCATGTAATCCGTTGAGAGAAATCTCAATCTGATTTAGCTTAGGGTTCTAACCCACAATGGCATAATCTTATGCAGAATATTTTGTATTTGGTAATGACTTATTGGATGCGAATCTAACAAGAGCTCATATGTCTTTATCCTCTTAATTATAAATCATAAAAGCCATTAAAAACATATAGGTTGAACAAAAGCTAAGGGGAATTGTCCCTGAATAACAGAACCTGATACATATAAAACATATTGGACCAATATAATTTGTAGTGTACTTTTAAAAATTACATCAACACAAGTACATTAATGACATATATTTTGCACTTACTAATTAGCAGTCTTGCATAGTTGCATGTACTTGGAATGAACTGATACAGGCCATACATACATCAGCCAAAATATGACAGTCTTACATATGAGTTTTAGGTATACATTCAAGATCTCACATGTGAGCTTAGACACGCACCAGTATATTACACCATGATAGATTGGTAAAGTTGGTAAACGAAGATAATTAATCGTTTTTCATATCAAAGAAAACATGTATCATAATATTTTTATATTTATTACTTTTTTTTTTTTTCTTAGTGTTAAATATTTTTAAACTCTATTAGAAGCAAGGATTAAAAACCTTAAAAAAAAAGAAAAAAAAAAGGAGTAAAAAAATGAAATCATGTAACAAAGATGAAATTCAATGCAAAAGATTTATTCAAGAAAAATTGCAAGATCAAGATTTAATTACACATAATTGGTTTTACATCGAGCTTTCAATTTTTGCAATATAAAAAAATATGCAAATAAATGTGTTCCTAGTTTCTATAATTTTCTAACCTTTAAACTAATTTCAACTAGTTTTAAGAAGTGAAATCTTCCCTATGAAGCCTTAGACTTTCTTTTTGCTCAAATTTGAGGAGACTTGGAGGAGGAGGGTTGGAGTATGTCACTGCCTTGGAGTCATTACACTTTTACTCCTAAGATCAATTGAGCTTCTCTGAAGACGAGGACAATGATGATGGCATGCCTTGGAGATACCTTCATCAGAATCTCCGTTCTCTGAATTTTGACCACCTCAAAAATATGAAAATTCTACCAAAGAGAATGCAGTACTTGACCTCCCTTCGAAGCCTTACCTTCGATAACTGTAAGAATTTCACTGCCCTGTCTGAATGGATAAGCTGCTTATCTTCCCTTCAGTCCCTATCCATTGAAAGATGCAGTGCCATCAAGTCATTTCCTGAATCAATGTGCAACCTCATTTCTGGCATTTTAAGATGCCTAAATTTGATATACAGCATTAGGTGAGTATATTGGCCGGAGTGTGTACTACCTTATCTTATTTTGGCCGAAGATTGTACTACCTTAATAGGCATGCAGTGATTCGTTCTTTATTTGTCCAGTCCCATATATGTCAGAGTAAGTATCAGCTGTAGCCTGTTCTTTCAGTTTGCCTCACGCTCAGGTTCTAAACATTTGCTCTGAATATATTAACTCCTTGCCCTTTTATTTGTAGTCACTTCTTGACGAAGTCCTGTGACACTAGTGAAGTTGTCAATGTCGTAATTCTGAATGACCAGCCTTTTGTGTTTTTGATCAAATATGATACAGAGTATCTAAAATCTAACAGAAGCCTTTTGCCCCAGCGGTACCTAGTGTATTTATGCAAAACTTGATGCAAAATCATTTTAATTAATTTAGCTAATTCCTTATATCATATCAAGTAGTCTACTTATTTCTGTATATGCAACAGCTTTTCACAAACAAGTTCAAGCAGATTCTCTGTTGTAGCGGCTCCTTCAAGAGGAATGAGTACAGTATGATAGCTACGGCCCTTAATCTGCTGTTGAGACATCCTTAAATCAGGTTTTTGGATCACCATGCTAAAACTCTATTCCACCAGGCCCACCCACATATCTTCAATTTGTACTGAACATGATCTCAGCTATGTTCAATCAACTCACATCATCTAATTTTTAGTTCTTTCTGGTTGGTGTATCTTGGAGTGATCGAGTAGCCTATTTATGCTTACTATGAGTTATCCATATACAAAACATTGAACTCTATGTGCTAGTTGTAGCTGCCTAATGATTGAATTCAGCCATAATTTGTCAGCACCTGTAAGAAGCTTTCGGAACAAAAAGATTTTGCCTTTATTTCTAAGTAAGATTGAAATTATTAGTTGCACAAATCCTAAAAGTAGTCCTGGACGATATGTAAGTAATTTCGTTTAATAAGCTTTAGATATTAGATCGTGTTTATAAACTCAGGTTTTCGAGATCCCAAAATATTATTTACTGCACTTACTGAACATTAATACAAAAACACCATCGACATATACTTCGCACTTAATAATTAACATGTTGCAATTGGGACCAAAATGATATAGGCCATACATCCATGACATATGATTCTTTTTAATCTCAAAACCTCACATGCGAGCTAAGGCATGCACCACTGTATTACAGCATAGATGAGTGGCAGAAATGAAAGAAAACAAAACAGAGCATTTAGCTTCCGCGGCTTGCAACATCAGACAGCGCTACTAGAAGCCGAGTGCGCATCTCTCTAAAGAACAACCGTCACAAAGAAAATTGGATAGCCAATTATAACTATACTGAACTTTTTTACCAAATAAAACCAAACAAAGAAATATTAAGTACATAGCATATTTGTGCCTCAAAAAATAACAAGAAATCCCCTTTACAATTACCTAAGGGCATAGAGCGAGGGTGGAAAACAAAAATTTCAGAGGATCAAGTAGTAAAGGCCAATAGAATAGAAAATGGAAGTGTTGAATACTGATTTAGAGGACGTGCAAAATCAAGGCAGAGAAGCGAAATTCGAGGCAGAGTTTCTTGTGTAGGATAGAAAGGTAAATGACAAACTGTACAAGAAAAGTTGAAAAATATATACAGTAGCCAAGTTAAATTCATATCACAGGTACCAAGTTAGTATTTAAGAATGATCTTTTCAGGGAAAGACAGTTAGAAGCTTAGAGATTCTTTAAGTTGTCATAGATAAGTTAGCAATATTACATGGTTACAAGACAGGCATACGTAACAGAGGTGGAAACATTATAAAAATTCTTTGTTACCCAGGAAAGCATAGATAGAAATGCTGACCACACCACCAAATCATCAACTGAAGTCCTCTATGACTGCTGGATCAGTCATTAAGTCCTTAATCTTAAATATTCTTGCAAAGAATACAAACTTAAAGATGTAACATGTACTACTTATAGTGGTTTAAATCAGACTAAAGACGTGTTTTCAAAGACACAGAACAGTATACACCAGAATCCAAAATAATTTATGAAGATAGCTCTACAAGATGAGTAAACACTCAAAGGACATCCTATATATCATCACAGATTCTCCATACCGTATCATATAAATTGGTGCTCAGATTTTAAACAATATTAGAGATACAGGACATGCAAAATTCGTGTTTCTATGACAGAACCAATTTCAGTATAGATAAAGAACAAGCAACATCACACACTGAGGCAAGGGCTATGAGAGATTCTCAATATACAGTAGTATTACTAGCTTTTTCCTTTGGTTTTACACTCTAAATTCTCCTGGCTGGTAAATTTGATTGTTCTTTTACAAGTCTAAAACAAAGATACTCAAATGAAAACAACAAAACTTAAAGCTAAATTCTCTACATACTTAACTCTACTTGGCTGCTTACTGCTTACTGCTTACTGATTACTGCTTACTGCTTATCAATCAGGTGTAGCTCCAATGCTCCATTCACATCAGATAGGGCCAAGCTTTCAACAAAAAAGTCTATGAACATTAGAGAATCATCCCTTGCAAGATTTAGTAACCTTTTCAATACTTTGATGTCCAATACACAACACCGCAACAGACTATAGCAACGTAGAGAACGCATGGCAGGAATGATTGCGCTCACTGTATGATAAGTTTTAGTCCAAATAGAGTTAACATTTCCTGAATTCTTCAAAACCCAGATACTATTTCCATTTTTAGCCACATCAATTAAAGCCACTGAGTTGTCCAAAATAAATAGCACTCTTTGATCAACCCCACTCTCATCCAAATCCAATTGTGGCAACTCTCCGAGAGTGAAATGTTCACGGGCGCAGTCGAAGAGAGCCATCTTGGTAAATTTCATATCACAG